TAGCAGACGTTATAAATCAGTTTGAAGAAAAGAACACTAAATGACTTTGTGCTGTTATCAAAAATAAGGAAAGACTTTGCTCCTTTTCTGATGTCACAAGTTGCAGGATTTATTTTGTATTTAACCTGACTCTCTTCAAAACAAGTCTAAATCTTTTTATGTAAAAACGTTGAAGATTTTATGTCACCGTGCAGACTGAATTTTACTTCAGTTACATGCATTATTTTTTATCGTGATCAGAAAAGCACCTGAAGGAAGGACAATAAAGTTTTATTGCTTCTTCTGCAAGCATGTGTTACTGTCTGCTCTGTATTGCGGTTGGTTAATAATACTGGTTTGAATTAAATTTGAAACATTGAAGTTGACAAACCTATTTAGTTGCGAAAATCAGACATCGGTTATGGCCTGTCAAATTCTGCTTGCAATAAATTGTTTGGAAGTCTCTAGATCCGGAAATGAAATTGTCACATAAATAATCGGAATTATAAATTTCCAAACAATTTTGACAGTCAATGATTTAAGGTAAATTTGATTGTGTAATTAAGTTACTAGCTTTTAGAGTTTGACTAACAGGAAAGAAAAGAGGAATGCTACTGCTATCCAGGAGTCTTAAAAACCTTCTGAAGATAGTTTTGTGTCTTGACCCATACTTTCTTCTGTGACCACTGTGCCTATCAACCTGCATGGGTTTCTGGTTAAGGAACATCTTCATATTAAAATTCTAATTCTGGAGTCGTACCTGGTACATAGGAACATTGTGATTGTTGGAGGTCAGTCATCTGAGCTCCAGAATGTCTCTGCATGACTTCTTCAGTATAATGTCCTTGGCCAAACCATCTTCATCAGCTTCACTGATGGGATTACCTCCATCAAAAGGTCAGAAGTGAGGATGTTCGCCGATGATCGCACAATGTTCAGCAATATTTACAACCCTGCAGATACTGAAGCAGTCTATGTCCAAATGCAGCAAGCCCTGGACAATAGGCGGACTTGGATTGAAAAGTGGCAAGCAATATTCACACCCTACAAACATCAGACAATGACCATCTCCAGCAAGAGCGAAACTAACCATTACCCCTTGACATTCAATGGTCTTGCCATCACTGAATCCTCCTCATCAATATCCTGAGGGTTACCATTGAACAAAAACTGAACTGGACTAGCAATATACACAAAGTGGCTACAACAGCAGGTCAGAGGCTAGGAATCCTGCACTGAGTAACTGACATCCAGATTCCCCAAAGATGTCTACCATCTACAAGTCTCAAGTCAGGAGTGTGATGGAATACTCCCCATTTGCCTGGAGTGCCTCCAGCATCACTGAAGAAGCTTGATATCATCTGGAATAAAGCAACTAACTTGATTGGCACAACAGCCACTCTCTCCACTGCTGTTACTCAATAGCTGCAGTATGTACAATCCACAAGAAATTCATCAAAGCTTCTCAGTGCCTTCAAAACCTCCAACCACTGTCATATAAAAGGACAAGGGCAGCAGATACTGGGGAACACCACCACCTGCAAGTTCCCCTTCAAGCCACTTACAATTAATTTTCAACCACCAAGCAATAAGTCTTACATTGCTGAATGTAAACATATATATTGGGCATTGTCTGTTTCTGAAATTGGAATTGATAGGGTAAAATGATATGAGATGCTGCTACAAACACTAAAGAATGGAAAGTTTATCTGAAGTTTAAAAGGAATGTTTAAAATTATCTTGGGGGTACATCCTGTACAGAACGTGCTTGCTCAAGAAATGTTGCAGTACAGAGGGTAAATGAGTCTATAGTTGTACATACGTGCTTTGGATGATTATCCAATCTTCCTGGATTTGCGGGTTATGTTGGAGGATTGGACATTTACAAATATGTCTATTTATTGTATTTATGTGATCTGCATCTTTGTAATAGTTCTCTTGCTATTACTGAGCAGACACAAAATGGTTGATATTATTCTATTAATAAAGCCCTACAATTGTGATTGTAGGGCTTCGCAAATCTAAACGACAAAACCATGGGCCTACGTGTAGGATAGTGGCACCCTGACTCAGTAGCAAGTGCGCTAATCATGTTACTATTTGAAGAAAAGGGATATGTGGAACAAACATTTCAGCGCTCCCTGGATGAAAAGAAGGTAGAAGTTAAGTCAAAGAAGAAAAATGTGTTTATAACATGTGCCAGGTTGTAAACACAACTGAGAACGAAGTTGAATTCAGAAGATTCAGAAGGAGGTGACAATGTAAATACTAGAAGCAAAGTAGCATTATGAAAAGAAACTGGCAGCTCAAAACAAAAGGATATCAGAAAGTTTTTTATGAGCATATCAATAGGAAATGGATAGCCAAAGGAGTAGTGAGAGGCAAGAGACATGTCTGAGATGTTAAACTTTGCTGGCTGTCTTTATTCAGGAGGCATATACTGCCCACGCCATGGTGACAGGAGGAAACTCAGTTACTAGAAGAGTTTAAAATTGATAAGGTGATTGTGTTAAACAAACTATCAATACATTTTTTTAAATTCACTTGTGGGACATGGTGTCGCTGACTGGCCAGCACTTTTGTCCATCCTTAGTTGTTGTTTAGATGAGTTAAAAAGTTGATGAGTTACTGGGACTAGATGAGATGCATCCAAGGATACTGAAGGAAGTGAGAGTGAAAATTGCAGAGGCACTGGCATTTACCTTTCGATCTTCCCTGGATTTGGGGGCGGTGTTGGAGGATTGGACATTTACAAATATTGCACCCTTGTTCTAAAAAAGGTTGTAAAGAGAGGCCCAACATTACAGGTGACTCATCTTAAATCCAGTGGCAGGGAAACCCTAGAAACACTTACTCAGGATATTGACATTAATGGTGATACGGAAAATGTGAACTGATTCAGAAGAGTCAGCATGGGCTTGTTAAAGAAAAGTCATGGTTAAATAACTTAATGAAGATTTTTGAAGAGCGACAGAGACAGTTGATGAGGAGAAGATTGTTGATACGGTAAACTTGTACTCACAAGAAGTGCTTCATACAGAATCGTGCAACAGACTTATTAGGAAAGTTACATATTATGAATGAAAAGGAACAGTTGAAGTGAGGATAAAGAAATGTCTGATGGATAGGAAACAGAAAATATTGGTTAATGGATTTTTTTGGGGGCTGGAGGAAAGTTTGTGAAGGAGTTTCCCTGTGTCAGTATTTGGACACTTGATTTTCTGTATATAATGTTTTTTATTCATTCACAGGATGAGGGCATCACTGGCTGGGCAGCATTTATTGCCCATCCCTAATTGCCCAGAGGGCATTTGAGAGTCAACCACATTGCTGTGGATCTGGAGTCACATGTAGGCCTGACCAGGTAAGGATGGCAGTTTCCTTCCCTAAAGGATATTAGTGAACGAGATGAGTTTTTATAACAATGGACAATGGACTCATAGTCAGCTTTAGATTCATAATTCCAGATATTTATTGAATTTAAATTCCACCATCTGCCACGGTGAGATTTGAACTCAGGTTCCCCAGAACGTTATCTGGGTCTCTGAATTAACAGTCCAGAGATAACACCACTAGACTATTCCCTCCCCTCTTGGTATGCAGAAACGATCTCAAAATTTGCAGATGACACAAAACTTGGAAATATTGTAAACTGAGGAGGACAACATAGAACTTCAAAAGAACATTAACACTTTGGTGCAGTGGGCAGATAGTTGGGAAATGTTTAATTTCATGTTCTTTGGTACAAAGAATATCGAGAGACAGTATACATTAAAGGATCAGAGATAGTAGGAACTGCAGATGCTGGAGAATCCGAGACAACAAAGTGCAGGGCTGGATGAACACAGCACCATTTTAAAAGTTCTGCACGAGCAGGGCCACCTGGGTGCATCTCTACATAATATATTAATGGCAGCAGGATGGATAGACAGAGCTGTTAATAAATTATAGAGTATTCTAGGCTTCATAAGTAAATGCAAAGAGTACAACTGCAGGGAGGTTATGATCAACTGATATAAAATACCAGTTAGGCCTCAACTGAAATATTATCTACAGTTCTGGACACCACACTATTGGAAGAATGTACATGTATTGGAGAGAGGTTTATCAAAAATGTTACAGAGATAAGACACTTCAGTTGTGAGGGAACATTGGAAAAATTGGGAATATTTTCACTAGAGAGAAGAGGCCAAGGGGAGATTTGACATAAATTTTCAAAATTATGAAATGTGGATGCAGTAGATAGGGAGAAACTTTCTACTTGTTAAAGGATTGAGAACCAGAAGGCACAGTTTTAAGAGTTTTGAGAACTAAGCAAATTCAAGGTTGAAGGTTTTCTTTCACAGTGATTTTTTTTAGGGTCTAGAATGCACTGCCTAGAAGTGTGATGGAGGCAGGTTCAATTGAGGCATTGAAGAGTGGGCTTTAAATAATTATTTAAATAATTACAAGGAATTGGCAACAGATTGTCCTAAATTAAAATGCTGAGAGGGCCAGTGCTAACATGAAGGGTTGATTGGCCTCCTTCTGCACCACATAGATTCTGTGATTCAATGAAAGAGATGCATAAATGGATGACAAGATGCTTGTGGTTTATCATTCTAATCATGAAATTGGTGTCACCATCACATTGATGAATCTGAATCCATCACACAACTTCGAATCAGACTGAACAAGTGGACTGGTGGGAGGTTTTGTGAATGGACACTCGTGATCCATTCAGTTCTCTTGCTAGTGTTTGATTTCTGGTAGAATTACAATAGCTTTCTAAACAAAGAGACTTCAAATTTCACAAGAAAGAGAAAATCAGAAGAATGTTTTTCCCTTATGTAGCTATAACGTGAGGTTAAAAGGGAATCCTCACCCCATTTACAAAACGTCATCATCATCTGGGGAAATCCTCTCATTATGTTTCTCCAACTTGTGTAACAGGCTGTAAGCAGCAGAAGAATCTCCCGCATGCCTCTTTCAGAGGAAACACATTGCTCTGCAAATTGTTAAATAACGCCTGGAAAACTTACTGTCTTTTTCTTCCTTGTACAAGTGGGTTTCTTGCAGCATGTGTAGTAATTGAGGGCTGCATATTCCATCAACGCCGCAAAGACAAATAAAAAGCATACAGTGACGAATAAATCCATAGCAGTGACGTAGGAAACCTTTGGTAGTGATTTTCTTGCTATGCTGCTGAGTGTTGTCATGGTTAGCACTGTCGTAATCCCTGTTTTGTAAAGAAAGAAATATCAATGCAAATTAACGTGTGAGAATTATTCCCAAACCATTATACAAATGTCCTGTTATAATTTTATTAATTTATTGAGCACTCAATTAGCTACAGGAGTCTAACGTGAAGTCTTACAGTTAAGACAGAATCTGTGAAAGACAACATTGCAGCAGAGTTAAATACAATAGCAAATTGGCCTTGGTGCACATGTATAATGGATATAATCCCGTCAAATTAACTTCATTTGAGCTATAACTGGGGACTCAAGGACTTCACTTCTGCTCAAGGCTACTTTCCTGTTGTCACAAATAAGAAGTCAAAGTAAGTCACTAAAAACATCATACCGATATAAATACTTGGAAATGAAAAATGGTCCATTTCTGCTGCTATCAAGCTGTTTCGGTGCCTTACCTGCTCATTGGCAGACTACATGCGCACAATGAGAAAAATCATGGGCAGCCTGCATGCAATTTTCTGGTTTAATGCTAGTTAAAGTCTTAATGGGTGAGCTCACGGGAATGTGTCACTGAAAATTTAACCTTAAATTCTTCAACTGTGTCAGGATTCCATACAATGCATGTACAAACCATTTGGCAGATCTTGCCACATATCTTGATGCGTGTACAATGGCTTGCATTTCTTTATATTCATTCACTGGTTGTGGGCCTTGCCAACTGGGCCAGCATTTATTGTCTGTCCAGCTAGCCTTGGAAAAGTGGTGGTGAGCTGCCTTCTTAAACCATTGCAGTCCACTTGGTGTAGGTGCACCCACAAGGCCATCAGGGAGATGGTTCTAGGATTTTGACCTAGCAACTGTGAAGGAACAGAAACATATTTCCAAGTCAGGATGATGACTGGCTTGGATGGGAACTTGCATGTGTCCCCATGTGTCTACTGTTCCTGTGATTGTAGTGGTTGTGGGTTTGGAAGGTGTTGTCTAAGCAGCTTTCGCAAATTTTCAAAATACAATGAATATTGTTAAGCAAAAACAACTACAACATTACCAGCAAAATTCCACCAAACGTTAGGTAAATAACAACAGTCATGATCTATTTTCAAGATTCTTAATCATGGAATATTGCTTCCTTCCAAAATTGTGTAGGATCTTGAAAAGTATCTAAACGGTCAAACAGGGCCTTGGTTTAACAACATGGATGACAAGGCAGTTACAACCTCACTATTTCACTCAAGTATGAGTTCAGAACATGAGCTTTTTGCGGGTGCAGTATTCTAATTCACCATTTTCTATCGCACAGTTTTATTGACTAAACCCAATCAATAAGGCTACACAGATGTTATAACCAACTAACTAATTTTCAGTGGTCAAAATAAACTGAGAACTGGTGCACATCAGTCACGTCTTTTTGGGCATTTACTCTGGGCATTACAGCAATTTTCTTTGAGCATCACCACTAATTACTGTGAGCATTACAGTCTATTATTGTGAGTATTACAGTCTATTACTGTGGGCATTCCAATTTATTACCATGGGCATTACAGTCTATTACTGTGAGCATTACAGCCATGTCACTTTTCCTCAGTTTACCTTAGCACAACTCTGAACAAGTTGCCCAAGCAGCAGGATGTGTTTCTGAAAGCCCAGCCCAGAAATGTGGTCCAAAACATCAATTGGATTTAATAGTAAGGGTTATTTGCAAGAATGAAGGAAAGACTATTTACTGTTGAATCACAGAGCACAAATTGTAACCGTGAGCAACCATGGGTGAAGCTTAACTGGCTTGTACTGGAATTTAATCTGAGGAGTATGATTAGAACAGATACCAATCACAGATTTTGTGTTACAGCGATTCTTATTGCTTTCCATTACAGTTAATATTTGTATCAGGCAAGAACTTGTGTGTATCTATTTACTCCTCACATGGATAACAATTACTCAGAGCACATTACATCAAGGTGGCTGCTGAACAGGACTGGAAACAAGGAGGAAAATACAAGGTGATCATGTTGAACAAAACCAAAGTTTAGGAAAAATGTTTCGTGAATTTTTGCAAGCTAGGAAGCCAAAGAGGCAGGATTTTGGGACAGATCACCAAAGGAGGAATTATAATTTGTGGAATGGGGAGAGGAGACACATGGGAAGCTGGTGTCATGTGAATGGGGATAAGTGACAATTGGACAGCGATTTAGTGCTCTCGGCATGACATGTGGTGGCAGACATTTTGAGGGTTGACTAAACTCCCGACCAGCAACCAGCGGAAAAGCCCGCTGGACTGAGCTCCAATCAACCACTTCAGAGCAGACTGGCCGGCTTCTTAGTGCATCACGAGCCTCAAAACTGAATCTGCCTAACCTGAAGCTTCCGGCAAATCCCAAGCCAGCAGGCCCTGGGAGTTGGACATCACCATTCAAGGCCCAGTTGAACAGCCATCAATGGTTGTGATGGTTGAGAGTGCAGGGTTGGGGATAGCAGGAGAAAAGATTTTCAAGGTCCAAAGCATGATGCTCAGAGCTGGCTTTCAGGGGCCTCATCCCTGCCTGATCCCATCAGTGCCCCCAATCTCCCCTACATTGGGATACATGGAGGAAGACCCCTGCCCCACATGGCTCATAAACAGTCTTGATTTGCTCAGCGGGCTAGCAGTGCTTTTTCTTACCCACTAGGAAGGCACGTACTCAGGCCTGTGGTGAGTTGAGGTCTTTAACTGACCTTGTGGTGGCGGGTTGGGAGGTCACCCATGGATATTTTGCCCGAAGCCTGATTGATGAGGTAATGAGAAGAGGCCAACCCATCCGTTCGTTTGTCCTTCTCACCACTTGCCCCACCTACCCTTAGGCAGAGGTAAGTCTTGCTAACAATCACAGAATCGTACAGCACAGAGGAGGCCCTGCGGTCCCTCAAGCCTGGATTGCCAAAAGTTACTGCCAAATAACGACCTGCACTGGTCTCACTTTCCCGCACTAGGGCCATAGTCTTAAATGTTAAGACGATGATGTTATGAAGGATTTCAACGTGGAATTGTGCAGGATGTGGGCACTGTTGGTCAGGTCAACATGTACTGCCTATCACTATTGCCCTTGAGAAGGTGGTGGTGAGCTGCCGTCTTGAACCGCTACAATCCATTTCGTGCAGGGTCACCCCAGTGCTGTAAGGGAGCGATTTCCAGGATTTTAAGGCCATTGACACTGATGGAACAGAGATGTATTCAGCAGTCAGGATGGTGTGTAGCTTGGAGAGGAACTTGAAATGATGGTGTTCAAGTATATCTGATATTCTTGTCCTTACAGCTGGTATAGGTGGAGGGTATGTAAGGTGCTTTCGCAGGAGCCTTTGTGACCTCTTGCAGTGCATCATGTAGATAGCAGACACACTATTGTAGATTGGTGGCAGTGATAGTGAACATTGCAGGAGTGAGATAGAATACCAGTCAGTCAAGCTTCGTGAGTGTTACTGGAGCTGCATCCATCCAGGCAACTAGGGAATACATTATCATATTCCTGACTTGGGTCTTGTGGTTGGTGCACAGGATCTGAAGAATCAAGTGGTGAATTACTTGCCACAGAATTCTCAGCCTCTGACCTGCTCTTGCGAGCACTGTAGACACGTAGCTAGTCCAGTTCAGTTTCTTTTTTTAAAAAAGGTAGGAACAGGAGTAGGCCATTTGGCCCTTCGACCTGTTCCACCATTCATTATGATCATGGCTGATCATCCAACTCAACAGCCTGTTCCTGTTTTTTCTCCTCAAAATCCTTTGATCCCTTAAACTCCAAGTGCTACATGCAACTCCTGCTTGAAATCATACAATGTTTTGGCCTCAACTGTTTTCTGTAGTAGCGAATTGCACAGGCTCACCACTCCCTAGGTCAAGAAATTTCTCCACATCTCCGTCCTAAATGGTTTAACCCGTATCCTTAGTCTGTCAGCCCAGTTTCTGGACTCCCCTACCACCTGAGACATCCTTCCTGCATCTACCCTGTCTAGTCCTGTTAGAATTTTACAGGTTTCTATGAGATCTCCCCTCCCATTCTGATCAATGATAACCTGCAGGATGTTGAGAGTTAGGAATTTGACGATGGAAATGCCATTAGGTTAGATTCTTTCTAGCATATGAATATACAAGGAATGGACGGATGTGGATTAAGGGCAGGTAGAAGGGATTCGTTCAATTTGGACTCACGTTTGGCACAACATTGTGGGCCAAAGGGCCCATTTCTGTGCTGTACAATTCTATGTTCCATGTTCTTGATGGAGATTATCATTGCCTGGTACTTATGAACATACAAATCAAGAGAATGAGTAGGCCATTCATCCTCTCATATGCTACACTCCATTTCCCATATCTTTGCCCACTCATTTAAACTATAAATATCTTTTTGTAACCTCCTTGTATCCTCTTCAAACTTATAATCTTCCCTCTCCTTGTGTTGTCAGCAAATTTTGCAACCAAACTTAATTTCCCTTTCAGCATCAATCTCTGTTGCTCAAAACTTTTTACATCTTGCAAACCTGAAAAAGGCCCATTTACGCCTACTTTCTGCTCCCTGTTAGCCAGCCACTCTTCTGTTCGTGCCAATATACTACACCCTATACCATGATCTTTTATTTTCCACAATAACCTTTGATATGGCACCTTATGAAATGCATTGTGCATCCACTAGTTTACTTTTGTATAAAGTCTGTGTCATCTCCTCAAAGAACTCCAATAGATTGATCAAATATGGCTTCCCTTTCACATATCCTCGGCTCGATTACCTTGAACTTATTCAATTGCACTGTTAACTTCCTTTCAGCAGGTTCTAACATTGTACCTATGATAGATGCTGAGCTAACAGGCCTCTAGTCTCATGGTTACTGTCTCCCTCACTTTTTGAATAAAGGAGTTAGATTTGCTATCTTCCAATCTATTGGGACCCTCCTTGAATCAAGATAGCTTTGGGATAATTAAAACTAATGCATCAACTATCTCAATTTCCACTTCTGTTAAGATCCTCATGTGGTATGAATGTTACATTCTATCAGTCCAAACCTGAATGCTGGT